CTGTGTTCTCTTGGGAGGGGCTTATCATTTCTTTAATTAATCTCTTTATATCTTGCCTCACTTGGATCAGAAGTACAGTTTTAAATTCGTCTATGAGGTCATGAAGATATTTCTTTATATCGGCTGATGCTGTGTCTAGTATTGGATGGTTACTGTGCTGGTTCTCTTCTGTATTTACTTCTCCTGGGCTTATTTTCCCAGGTTCAGCAGCTAGAGATTTTTTTTAATTTCTATCTCTTGTCATGTTTCTGGTTTCTTTCAGACTGGTGCATCCTGGGTGTCTCTGACCCTCTCTGTATTGCATAGGGTCTTTCTGTAGCGTACTGACTGGAGTTTTTGCTACCCTCCCCAATTTGCTGTTATCTGAGGTAGGCAGGGATGCAGCAATAGTGCAGGCTAGCCTCCAGCCTCTGTGCTAGCCAATACACAAGTTAGGCTGTACCTTGTGGATGTCACAGAGTTGCAACAATTTTGTATCTGCTTATTGGGTCACAACCAGAGGTGTGGTTCAGCCCCAGTGATCCCACCAGTTCTCTCTGTGCCAGGAGCAGCTGACTGATGTCACCATGGTGCAAGGCTATGCCCACATCCAAGCTGTCCTCTACCAGACCTCTGTGTGCCAGGGCGACTGTCTGATGTCACTGCAGCACCAGGCCCTGCCCAATTCCAAGATGTCCTCTACCAGATCTCTCTGTGCCAGGGGCAACTATCTGATGTCACCACAGCACACTGGGCTCTGCCCAACTCCAAGATGTCCTCCACCAGTCCTCTCTGTGTCACTGATGCCGCTGTGGCGCCAGGCTCTGCCCAATTGTAAGATGTCTTCCAGTCAGTGACAGCAGCCAAGAGACCCAGTCTCTAGTACTCTCCGGGACTCAATGCAGATCTTCCTCTTGGGTCCACTGCACACTGCACCACATGTCTTCACTGTGTTCCCAGCACAGCAAGGATCGTCAGAAAACTGCACAGTGTCTGGCTTTGGAGCCCCAGAGCCTCTCGCTGTCTCCTCCAGTGTGGCCAGGTGGCTTTAGCTGGTTCACAGGGCCCCAGGTTTTAATTTCCAGCAGTTGCCAAGAGCCAATACAGCTTTTCCCCTTGGATCCACTGCTCACTGTGCTGCATCCTCCTGGGGTTATTGGCAGCCGCAGTCTCAGCACAACCTTAGATCTTCTGGGCGCGCTTAGTACAGTGCAGAACGGGGCTCAGTGAGCACATCAGGCTTCAGCTCTCCACCTGCACTTTTCCTTCCTCTTCCTAGTTTTATTTTTCCCTTCGGTTGCTGCTTTGGTTAATAAGAATAGTTATCCATTAGTCCTCTCCATGTTGTCATATTCTAGCATCTGATCTTATTTCTCTGCAGAGACTCTGCACCCAGCCCCCAAGCAAGCCACCATTTTCTGTCCATGTCATCTATTTTGAAGAACATCTCATGTGCAGCTGAGAAGAATGTGTGTTATGATGGTGTGGGCTGGAATACTCTGTAGACTTCTACTTAGTCCATTTGTTCACATGTGTTTTAATTATGCTATTTCTTTGCTGATTTTTGTCTAGTTGATCTATCTAATTGTGATAGTGGGGTATTAAGATTCCCCATTAGTTAGTGATTATTTAATTTTTCATGTCCATTCACATTAGTTTTGTGTAGTTGGGTGCACTAGTGTTTGATGCATATATAATTATGTCTTCTTGGAGTCTTCCCTTAAGTATGTAGTGACCTTCTTTGTTCCTTTTGATCAGTCTTGGTTTGAAGTTTACATTGTCTGCAAACAGAATAGCTAACTGCTTTTTTCTGGGATTCTCTCACATGATATATTTTTCATCCTTTGACTTTCATTCTATGAATTTTTTTGACCAGAGATTGAACTCACAACCTCATGCTTGCCAGGCAGGCATTTAAGCCACTGAGATAAATTCCCAGTCCTAGTCTATGACTTTCTTTTTAATCAATGTGTTTCTTCTAAGCAGCATATTGTTGTATCTTGTTTCTTGATCCATTCCGTTAGTCTGTTTCTTTTGATTGGTGAATTCAGATCATTTACATCAATAGTTATAACAGATAGGTATTGGTGTATCTTCCTCATATTTTCTTATTGTTGGTTTCATGTCTTTGCCCTCTGTTTAATTGCTTGTCCACCATGGTGGCTTCTTTCTATGTGTGATCTTGTGATTATTGTCTTCATTTTCTCTAACATATTCTTCAGAGCATTCTGAAGAGCCAGTTTAATGGACATGAATCTCCTCATGTGTTCTTCATCATGTAATTTCTTATTTCTCCAATTTTGAAAGAAAGTTTTGTGGGGTACATCAATCTGGACTGGAAGATGTTTACACTTAGAGCTTGAAATACCTCACTCCAATATCTCCTTGATTTGAGAGTTTGCACTGAAAGGCTGCTGTTTCCTTTATGGGTGATATGTCTCTTTTTTTGTTGTTGCTTTTAATATTTTGTTCTTGTGCTAAATTTCCAGGATCTTGGTTATTATATGCCTTGGTTTAGGCTTATTTTGGTTATGGCTGTTTGGAGTTCTAAATGCTTCATTTATATGTATGTCAAATTCTTTGTCCATGTTTGGGAAGCTTTCTGCCATTATTTCTGTCGTTTCTTGTGGCATTCGTGCTGCCTCCAGCTTTCTCATTGACTCCGATCACTCTCATGTTGTTTTTCTCAATGGTTAGTCCCACCCACTAATGTCAGTTATTTTTTTATAAGATATGCCAATACCTATCTGTTACAGCCATTGATGTAAATGATCTGAATTAACCAATCAAAAGATAAATGGTACATGTACATTTTGTTTGTTTGCTTGCTTGTTTTGTCCCATTCACTTCACATCCCTCCTTGCTCCTTCCAACTCTTGGTCTACTTACCACTGTTTGGGAAGATTGTTTTGATGTTCAACAAAGGCATCACATTTCCTTGCCTGTGTCCTCCAAGTAACTAATGCTACTCAATTCTAAATACTGTACTCTCATAAGAGAATGAAAAAAGGAAAACATTTCTGACCTCATGGGCTTTGGGGTCATACAAGGTTTACCAGACCGTGCTTTGAGAACTGCTAACTGGGTGTACAATCTTAAAATGAATTCTGAAAATGTACCTGGATTAATGGGGAAGGAATCCTGTGATTGATGAATGATGCCTGCTTTGGACAACAGGGTATGGAGCAGGAGCAGATTTTCCACGTATTTGACATCCACACAAAAGCCTAATCTATCTCTTAAGTTCCTAGACATGCCAACTAACTAGAGCAATGTTTAGATTTTAAATAACATTCAAATATCTATCGAGATGAGAGTGACAGAGATCCTTCAGAACAATCATCTTTTCAGTATGACATTATTATTTTGTACCAGGGATGGAACTCATGTTTGCCAGGCAGGCACTTTTGCCACTGAGCTATATCCCCAGCCTCCTCAATCTGATTATTTAAACAATCATGTGGTTAAATTTTGGAGTTATCTGAAAATACAAATAAAATAGGCAAATTTGGCTTTACCAAAATGATATGTCAGAGTTGGATAAATTACTTATTCCATAAATCTTGACACCAAATGATTTCCAATTCATGAAAACATTTTCCTTGAAGGATGCAAGTGCACTATCCACAAGAGCAGTAAAATTCTTCCACAAGTAATTTGAGTGTATTTTATTAAGTATCTTGTTCAGTGCTGAGCACAGAAAAAAAAAAAATTAAAGTTTCAATCCCTGTACTGAAGGTCTCATATTCTCAGAGAACAAAAAAACCAGGAATCGAAATCAAGAACAGCAACCCCTATACTTGAGGAGGGCTCAAGGTCTCTTAAGGCAGCCAACTTACTCTATGGGATAGAAGTAAGAAAAGACTCCCTGGCAGTGTTCTCCCACTACATCCCACAGGACCTGAATGAGTAGTGGAATAGGGAAGGTGACACACGAAGACTTGCAAAAGAAACATTAAGTGCAAAAACCTGGAGACAGAAGATGAAAGTGTGGGCCATTTGATAAGCTTGCAAATAACTCAGAATGATGGTGGCAGTGATTGATGTAGACAAGACAGTAATTAACATGTGGCTTGATAGCCTGGTGCTCTTGAGTTTTAGACTAAAAGCCAAGAAGATATAGTGATCTGCTGAGTATTACAAAGATCACTTTGAGCTCCTTACGTGTTGTCACTGTCCCAGTCACAGGTAAATAATAAACATATGAGCTAGATTTGTTCCTATCCACCTATCACCAGCCATGTCACTGGGTTATGGTAGCCTAAGGTCTTTGTTTTGGCTACCATGGCATCCCATTGCCTTCATTCCATCCCATAGCCAAGAATGTACCCTTTTGCAATTAAAAGAGGAAACATAGACAGGAACCACATCACTTTACTGAAAAAGTATCAAAGCCCATATCCCATGATACATGACCTTATTGCAAGGTCCAGGTCTGAGGCTGATTAACCTGAGTTGGAAATCTCTTATTTTCTCTAGGTATCAAAACCTTCACTTAAAACATGAAGATGTTCAACTTACCTATTTACTCTCTGTGAAGGCTAAGGTAGGATGTTTGTAACCTGCCTACCAGAGTACCTAGTATATATAACAGGCACTCAGAAATGGTCACCATTTTATCTCATCCTATGCCTAATAATCCTGTGACTGAGGGATATAATATTCCAAGGGCAAAATAAAATACAGATTAAAATGTCCACACCCAAAAAGTAGTCCATTCTACTGTCTGTCACAATACCCAAACTTAGTTTTTCACCTAGTAAATGTGATGTATGTTGACCAACCCCAAAAGCATGCAGAGAGGATGCAGTAAAAACAGGAAAGTAAAAGTGTGTCACAGTCACACTGGGTTATTGAAGATTCCCCTTCATAAGAAGAAGACTTGAGTTTCACAGCTCTGCACTGATGAACATCAGGCATGAGGGCAAGCTGGGGAAGACCTGTCCTGAGCAGAGCGCCCATCCAGCCACAATGAACCATGCTGGCCCCACAAAAGAAAGGCAAACAGGAGAGACATTAGATTGGGTCTTCCAGAAGGTCTTTGTTGCAATTTTTCCATCATCAAAAAAAATTACATCATCAAATAAAGACAATAGCAGCACAGCATATTGAAATGTTACAAGCAAATTTGCTTTTGTACTTTTCCTAAGAACATTACGAAATCCCCCCACACACAGTAGTATCTGTAAAATGCCTTTTATTAAAGCACCATGAAATCCTACAAAGAGAAAAATAGGTAAAACACCTCCACAAATGGGTTTATCATCATCATCATGGGGTCCACTGCCTGCAAATCTGGGATGGGGATCGGGCTGGAAACTGGCATGTGGGGTGGTTTGCATATCACTTCTAGGCACCACTGCAGCTATCCATTCAAGAAACAGATGTGAAGTTACCCTCCGCAGTACAGGTCTGCTATGTAGTTGGGGCAGGTGTCCACTCAAGGAATTGTTAATGCCCAGGGAACTGTTTTGAGATTTCTTTTACTTAAGAAAAAAGAACGCAGAGGATATTCCTAGTCTCAGGCACTACTTTCAGTAAAATCAGAGACATCACCTATGTCTCCTCATTGCCACTATGTTGATGTGATGAGACCCACAGACCACTGTGGGAGGGCCACGGTTTACAAGGAGCATGAGTGGGTGGGTGAAGTCCACACAAAGACAGAGTGCAGGGCTTTATGTAAGGTCCATGGGACTAGTGTGCTATTTTAGTTCCTATATGTAGAATTAACAGAGCACGATACCAAATTAAAGTTAGCTTGTTTTAGAGTTACATTTTCCCATTTTAAAGTCATTACTAACTCACATCTACACTGTATCACTAGAAGCTTCCTCCACTCTTTCAGCTACTGTATTTGCACACAACCACATCATAACAGTGAGGAAGAATTATCTCCACCTGGAACATTATTAGGATGCAGAAAGTAGAGACGAAACATAATACCAGCATGTTCTTTTGTTGTTCCTTTAAAGAGGCTCTCTACAGGCTTGTTTGTTTTCCTGTGGCTCAGAAACCATGGTACACATCGGATGGTTCACATTCCTTTGCAGTCTACTGAGTCAAAACCTGCCCTTCTTAAATCCTTGCCATATTCTCACTAATCCCCCAAATCAAGCATACAAATAGATGTGCAGCCCTGACTTAACTAGGAAGTGAAATCATCTTGAGAGGGAGGCAAGGGGGCAGTAGCCAAAGATTAGCACACCAGGGCTTTCAACATGAAATGGTCTCCATAGAACCCAGAGCAGTCATTTCCTGCGGGTGTGTGAATATGAGAGGAAGAGCAGGAGATGCATAAATTCATAAAGTAATCAAAGGGAACTTGTAGTACAACTGACTGTAAATAGCAATTGCCTAAAATTCTTTAACTTGTGTTAATACCATGCAAAAAAATGCAAAATGCCCACATAACACAAGCCTCCAGGTGACAGAGTGCCAAGAGTTATAAGGGAGAATCTAAGAGACAGCCTACACTAGGCATGATCCTAATTAGGAAGCTAGTCTCCCAAATACCTCTGGTCTCCATTAACCACCCAGAAAACAAAGGAAACCAACCTCTCACCCTAAAATGGGTAGGATCATTAATCAGTATGCACACATCCAACTTATAAATTTCTTAATAAATGTAATTAGCTCATGGGCTGGGTAATGCTTCACCAGAGGACTGCAGAACTAAAAGGACCCTTGATGATTATCTGTGCTCAACTCCCTTAATGTGCACATGAGGTACAAGGAACTAATGTGCCCACAACCACAACCACAGGCTGTGGCTAGGAAAGCAGACAGTAGCCCCAGTTACCTCAATCATATGCTATAGAGGCCACACACACACACACACACACACACACACTATACAGCGCTACTCAAAATATGATGGATTGATGGAATCACTACAGGATACCCCACACATGCATGTACACACACACATACACACACACACACACACACTATACAACTCTGCTCAAAATATGCTCTCTGGAATCACTGTTGGATACTGGATTAGGTTTGGGCAATGAGCTGTATTTATTTCTCCAAACTGTCCCTTGGCTCTCACTAGTAAACCTCCAGATATACTTTGAAAATAAAATTCTGCATCCAACCACAGGATAAAACAAAGGACGCCACTCACAGAAGACACTGAAGGTGTGCTCTTTCTGTGTGCAACACCACAATGTTCATTCCAGATTTTCAGTTGGGCGGGAATGCAGAGTGTGCGGGGAGGATTGTACAATGCATGTAGAATATGCAGCAACTTTGCCTTACCATGTATGTTCTGCAAGCTATTTGGCCCCGTCTTTTAAAAAGTAGCATTCAAGTAATCAAAACAGCTGAACCCTCAAATATTAATTTGTACACATGAAAAGGAATCCAATCTGCTGTTCCTCCTCAGTTTTTTCCATTGTGCTCAGGGAAGAGGTTGTATCAAAGATTTCTGCACTCCCAACCCAAGGCTATTCTCGACTCTGTATTACTGTAATTTGACTCTTTGGGGAAGCTTCTATGCACATACCAACACATGCACCTGTTCCATTTGGTAGAATATCCAGCTCAGTGCTCTCTGAACTGTTTTAGTCCTGCTGAATGTGAAATTCCTGCAAGGTAAGCAAGTAAAGTGCAAAAGAGTGCTCTCAAAGGGTGTTTTCTTGATTATACAAAAAAAGTGCCATATGCAGCATTCCCCAAAACAAAACTAAAACCATGCACAGTAGAGGTCTTTAAGCTATGTTTACACAAAGACCTCCTGCCCGCTGTAAAGATTCTTCCATGTCTTCTCCATCCCCTCTGTAAACGGTGTCTATGAAGCTCGAAAGACACTTGTGCACACATACACATGCACTCACACACTCACAAGGGTGCACGACACAGACGCTGTAACAAAGTTGAAAGCAGACTTTGGTCATACTTTGAATACCAGCTCTAATACTTTCTTGCTGTGTGCCATTAGATAAGTGACTCAGCTTCCCTGAGCCTCAGTGTTATCATCTACATAATAGATTTGCAAATATTTCCCCAGTAGTGTTGTGAGCATTCAGTGAGCAGACACCTATAAGGTGCCTAATCCAATGCCTCATTGACAGAAAGCACTGGATAAATACCAGGGAACCTTTTTTGCCAGATCCAGCTGTACGGCCTGCAATTTTAACACATTACGATAAAGAGGTACCAATGTACCATAGGGTGGAAACCTAAATGAATGCGATCCAAAAGTTTAATCAGGAAAATATCACTTATCTACCAGTTCCTTAAAATCTTTGGGTCAAGCTGGAATGATACCCATAGTAAAAACCACTGTCCATGCCTGCATATACATCAGTTCCCAGTGTCTGTTATGTGAACACTGGATGTCACCAGTGAGCCATAGCTCAAGCCGGGTGACGGAGTAAACCGAAGCCTACTCTGGACAGGAAAGGCCTCATCACAGGGATTCTGATTTGGATCTTTCTCTAAAGCAATGCAGAATCTTAACTTGAGCCTAAAGACTTGGGGACAGGCAATGGAGTGCTGTTATTTTGGGGGAAGTAAGCACGGATAGGTCTTTGTGATACAAAATGGTCAAGGATGCAGTGGGCATGATTTTCCCCTGAAAGGCAGAAAGCACTGGGTGGTTTCTGGAATTGTGATCTTTTGGTAAATCCACTGCGTGGATGAAATCCCACGAAATCCCCAAAAGGTGGGAGGACCATAATCAGCAATCCCTGGTATCGCCAGGTGCAAACGTTTAAGTGTGCGGCCCAAATCGCTAACTATGAACCAATGTGATAGCCAGCCAATTAGGATAAAAACAGGAACACACATGAATAATGGCCTGCTATTCTTTTTTCCTTTTCTGATGAAGTCCACTGAAAATCCCCTCTCAAAACCTAGGACTAGCCATTCTCCCTCTTTCCTTCCCCAAATATTCTAATTATCGCCTGTTGGTTATTGTTTGCCTTGCAACAATCAGTCACAGGACTGTTCCAACTGTAGTGAGGAGCAGGTGTGAGGAAAGAACAGCCAAACATAAAAGCAAAATAAAATATCATAAATATGTCTTTTTTAAGTATTGTCTTGTAAATGACATTAACGGCACTTAAGCTACAAGCAACACATTTCCATTTTACAGGAGTTGATTGAGGGATTAATTTTGCTTTTGTTTGGAAATAGCAAGTTTGGATCTCATGACTATATCTACCCAAGACACCCAAAGGGACGGAAAGCCCTGAGATGGAAAGATGCCATGGTCCTTCTTGGTATGTCTCAAAAATGCAGGATGGCTGTTTTTATAAAAGTTTAGAATCAGCTAGACAGAACAGCAAGCCACTGGCATCATGCAAGGCAATAGTTTTGGTATTGTTCCCCCTCTTATCAAAATGAGTTATAATTTAAGTTTCAATAGAAAAGTGAAATGGACCTTTCAGAATCAAGTTTATTTCCACCATCACACCCACTGATAAAAATGCATGATTGGCCTTTAACCATGCAAGCCCTTGAGGGTTGGCTTTTCCCCAACGCTCGCATGTTCCCTTGGAATCTCTGGCCCTGTGAGAAAGACACAACTCAGTAGGCTTCTGTCAGTGGTTAAGGTGATATCCACAGTGTGATGTGTTTGTGATTGTTTCTTTTGTAATGAGAAAAGCAAATTGCACCTTTTAATATATGTGCTCTGATCTGCTTCCAACAAAAACTCCAGGTGCTCTCAGATCCCACAAACATTCACTTGGAGCTCAGAAAGAGTGTTATGCACTGAACAGAGTGTGTCAAAATTCAAGTTCAGAGCACATGCCAAAATGTCAGCTCTAAACCTAGTTACAGTGACCAGTTCACCTGCAAACAGGCCCCCGGCCTCCCGGGTGGCGGCAGCTTCAGGAAATGAAACTCCGACACACCTGTTCCCTTCAGAGGCTGGTCTAAGGGATAGTGGCCCTCGTCTGCATGCCATGCCCAGTGACACTGCGCAGTGGTGCAGCATCGCTGGGGGAACCCCCTTCACGTGTGCGACCCCAACCTGCTACGTGTGCGAATGCTCCCTGCGTGTCCTGCAGCTGCTGTTTGAAACGAAGTTCTTGTTCTTTGATTCATTTTGGCAGAGCAAGCTTTCAGTCATTTATGGCACAGTGAAATATATTCTTCAATGCTATGTAATTTTGGACTAACAAGAAGTCTGTTTAAGGCACATGTCTCAGTGTGAATATTTAAAAAATAAAAATAAAAGACCACACAACGCTTAGTCCTCATCCAACATCCTTAACATTTAGTTTCTGTCTTCGAGTAATGAGTTGTTCTCTAGCTCGCTGTCTTTGGTGTCCGTGGGGACCATTCCGTTCTCCATTTCCGCATGCTGCTGGATGCACTCGGTCAGCATGGCTGTGCTGGAGTCGTCCGAGTTACACATCTTTTCAGTCTCCTCCTCCTTCTTCTCTTCATCCAGGGAGTAATTCCGGAAGGTCTTGTAGATTTTCTGCACGTCCTCGGGCAGGCTCTTTTTGAGGTCTTTGTTTTTCCTCTTGGTGAGCCTGGAAGTGGACCCAAACTTGTTGATGATGTTGTCCTCGGAGGCGCCCTGCCCATGTTTGTTGAGCTGCTCTGACCCCTTAAGGCGCAGGTTGTTGGGTCGGTTGTTGATGCTCTCCTGGGATGAGGCCTTGAAGCGGCCTGTGTCCAGCGCAGCGAAGACGGAACGCTTCTCGGGGGACAGCATGTCCAGCGAGTGGGCTCTCTGGTCCAGGCCCAGTCGTCGGCGCTCCATGCTGCGGATGGTGGCCGCCCGCTGCAGCTTATCGTGGATCTCCACGCTGAGCCGCCTCCTGGTCTCCCGGAACTCGGCCGTCACATTGGCCTTCCACTCTGCCGCGTGGGCCTTGATCTCACCAACCTGGCCAGGAGTGGAACAGCAGCAGCACACTGAAAAGCTCTCCTCTGGCTGCCACCTCCCAGCACCCACAATCCCCAGGGGTCCCGAAGGGGCGGCTGCCTCTGGGGGTAAGGAGCAGGCATCCGGGGATAGGGGCAGTATTTCCACTCAGACACCCGCCTTAGACTAGCTAGTGGTCAATGTGACTCAAGGAGGCAGATGTGCAGGGAGACCCAAAGAACACTTGGGACTGGGAGACGGTGGTGGCTAGAGAGAGGTAGACAGAGCTCTGGACAAGAGATCAGTATTTGGGGCTCCAGCTTTGTCTACACTGTTTTTACAAAGGATATGGCCTCCTTCCTTCCACATAAACTAGGCAATCATGTCTCGCTCAACTCTTCATCACAACATAAGATAAGGAAATGGACCCAACTCCACCACCCGAGGCGCAAAGCAGCCGCTCAGCAAGCCTTTGGCCTTTCCCTGTCCTTCCGATCTCTCCATCTGGGTGCAGTGACCAAGCTGTCCCAGTGTGGCTGACACTTTCAGTTTTAAAGTATAAACCTCCTGGAACCTCCTAGGAACCTCCCTGAGTCCTGGGCAAATTGGAACCACTGTTACCTTATGCCTGGGCCAAGCTATGACTATGTGACATGGGGCTTCCCCTGGCTGATGGAGATGCTCCAGGACACCTGGTGACCACAATCCCCTGTCAGGTACAGGGACAAAGCAGATTCTGCCAAAGGCCACAGAACATACATTCTTAGCAAGTGAAGCCTACCCTGAAGATCAGCACCAAGTTTCTTGGCTTTTAATCAAGAGGGTAAACAATCCAAGTCCACGCTTCCCTATGGATATGATTGGCTCAAATTTTTGCATTCAGAAAAATCACTGTTTATGCTCTTCCCCTCTCTTTTGTTATGGCTGATCTTGAGAATCAGATTGGATACTGCATTGACAACACAAGAAAATAAACATGTAGGCCCAGGAATGATAAGGGAAATCACCCTTTCAGCAAATTTGTCCTACAAAGAATGAACAGCTGCCTTTAGAGGAGCTGTCGCTCTGTTCCTTTCTTTAACTTTCTATCCCTTTCCACTGCCCTCCCACTTTGTTATTTCTTTTCTTGTCTTCCTAAAAGAATATGAATTTTTTAATTATGAAACGATCTTTCCTTCTTAGATTTTTTTTTCTCATCTTCATGTAGATTCTCACACAAATTTATGTGAGAGCATACAGACCATGTGCCTTGGCCGTAGGTCTAAATTTATCTGTGTGGATCTGGCAGCAGATGGGGAAATGGAGGCTATAGATGAAAGGGACCCCTTGTGTCCACTTCCTTGTGGCTGGCCACTGTTTGATGGCCTCGGCCTCACATTGAATAGAGAAAGACTCGTGGTGTTTCCTCTCAGACCCTAAGATCTGGGGACAGGGCAGTGTCCCTGGATTCCTTCTGAGACCTCTAAGCTCCCCACATATTTGCTAAAGGGTAAATGCACAGCTCCCTCAGCAATCATCAGCCTTTACTTACTATTGCTATGCTTTTTTTTTTCATTCTAGAAATAATTCCTATTCCATTCCACTTGGGTTTCAGGCAAAGATTCAGCATGAAGAAGCCATGGGAACCCGGCCTGAGTCAGAAGCTCTCCAGCCCACAGAACACAGACAGGCTAATCTGGGGTCAGGAACAACCGCAGAGTACAGAAGGGGTCTTACCTCTTCTTTTGTCTTTTTGGATAGAACTCGCAGCCAGTCTCCAATCATACTGAGGACAGCTGCAAAGTAGGCAAGGCCAACAAGGATCCAAAACCACACTAGAGGTTTATACCACTCCCGGTAATTAATGCCGGCATTTCCTCCTGTAAACAACAAGCATTACTTTAACCACGGTCTAGGGTAAGCTCCCTGAAGAGCAAATGTTTCCCAGAGACGTCACTCCACTGTCACCCAACACTCAGCTGTTGGCCTGGTGGACACAAGACACAACAGAGACTGGTGGACAAGCCAAAAAAGAGATGGGTCCCTCCCTATAGGAAGCTGTCTTGAGCCTCAGTGTCTCTGATTCTTGATCATGAACCTTAACACCTGTAACAGGAAAATGCTGTGGTCAGCTTGACCCACTCATTCTCAACTGAGCATCAGTGACAAATGCGAGGTCTCCTATTGATGTGCCACAGATGAAAATTGTCCTTTTCTCCTTAATCTTCTCCGAATTTATTTTAATAAAAAAAAATCAAATATCATTACATCATCCCTCATAGTTTGGAACTCCTGGAACCATTTCCATTTGAAGCTCACGGGCGTTTGCCCAGAGATGAGTGGATGCACAGAAGTAAACTTAAGCATGATGACAAGACCAGGAGTCGGACCCACTGATTTAGTTATTTAATGCAACTGAGGGATGGTGTGTGCATGATGTTAATCCTAAGGGTCAATTAGGCTGAGTAATTAGAATTGGCATGAGCTAGAACTAAAAGGGACCTCTGAGGCCAACTAGTCCAATTCCTTTATTCTATAAATAAGGATTACAGTAAAAATCCATCAAACCAAATTGGTCAGTTGCACGATGCTATTGACTGGCTTTTCCTCTGAAAAGACTGGTCATTTATTCCAAATAATTAGCCTACTTATTCTAGCCTTCGTGCAAGGCCTGCTGAGAGCAGTCCTGACATGTAGCCTCCAAGCCCTCCTCACTCTCCTGAAAAGGTCAGGAAGCCCAGCACCATAATGGATGTCAGCCTTGCGTTCGCTATAGGAGACATTGCTCCCCAGTGAGGTGAGGTAGGACCCCTCCAAGGTGGCTGCCCCTAGCCATGCATTGGCAATTAGGGCATCAGGTGACGAGCAACTCCCAGACTTCCTAAGTGGCTCTTGATTGTAACCACATCTAGCACCACTGAAGCCACATGGTGGCCTAGCACTCCTTGTACCTGAAGGAGCCAACTCGACAGACACTGGGACCTGTGCCTCTTCTCAGCGTGCCCACACCCACTTTGAGATGGGCCCATGAGGCCGGGACAGCTGCTTTACTTACTAAAGTTGGAATTTCAAACAGTGCGATAGGACCCTGTGTCAAGTCCCCTTTGGTTTGGTTTAGCAGCCTTCAGTTTTTCCCCGAGGCAACTAAGTAGCTTTCACTAGGATATAATTTGATTCATTCAACATTACAACATGGTTTTTGAGGTTCACGTTCTAGGCTAGGCCAGAGGACGCTGTAGTTTACTCCCCTGAGCTGTCAAAGTTAGGATCATTTTTCTAAATCGCGATCACTCAACCAAGACTGCCGCTAGGGTGCGCTAGTGAACAGCACAGTGAGTCCTCTGGGCCTCCCTTAGCCGCAGCCAGTCTGGACCAGGAAGAAGCTCCGGTGTGCTCCCAGTCAGGGTTGGAAAACGCAGCACTGTTATTACGCTGTCCCAAATTGGGTCTGCTACAAAATAAACAGCCGTCGATCCTGTGCGATCAATGCTCTGATTATATTTCTAGTAGCGTTGATACCATGTCAGATCACAGTAACCAACCACCAACTCTTAGATGTGTGTCTCGTTTTAACAACTGGGCAACCTGCCCTCTCACGCTTAAGGAATGGACCATCACCTGTACCCATGGCTTCTGCATCCATTGATTCAGACCAAAGCCACAGCAAAAAATAATTTGGAAAAAAAAAAAAACAGCATGTGATACGCAGCATCTTTCTCATGTCATTATTCCCTAAAAACAGTACGGGATAACAACTATTGACATTTCATAGCATTAACACTTTTAAGTACTAACAGGAATCCAAAGATGATTTAAGTATATGGAAGGGAATGCATAGACTATAGGAAAATGCTGTACCATTTTATATAAAGGGCTTGAGCATGTGTCAGTTTTAGGATCTGGGAGGCCTGCAGCCAGTCCTCCGTGATATTTGGAGATGACTACATTTTTTAAACAGGAAGTAGTGAACCTCTCTTCTTTCAAAAAAAGCGTTCTCCAAATGGTCAATGTAGTCCTGGAAACTGGAACTTAAAAGGGTCTGGGCTAGTTGTGATCAGTACTGAGAGCGATAAGAGACTCTGGACTCCAGAAACAAAGGAAATGTGGCTCCGAATTCACGGGCAAGTAAGGGCGTTAAAGAAGTGTGGGTGCCTGGGACTGTGAAGTTCATGTTTTCCCTTTTGTGTATTATGCTTTGGGATATTCAAAGTTCTGGTAAATAGTTCTAAACTCCCATCTGCTATGACAGGTATTTACCTTTGAGTGGAGTCTCAGCTGAGTTTTCCCATGGGCCAGATACAGACGACACTAAGGAATTAGCCTGAAGAAATTTATAAGTGTTTCTCTTACTTTGCTTAGTTTATCTGTGTGGTTTCCCTCCACAGCTGAGACAATTAATCAGAAATGGCTGAGGATTGTGAGCAAGAAAAGAATGGTAGAGTCCCAACCCCAGGCTTTCTGAGAATAGGTTTTTAATTAATCCTACATCCAGGAATACACAGGAGTTTTTCAGGGACAACGACTTCTCAGTTCAGCTTTAGAAAGCTTAACGGCAGGTGCCTGTGAGCCTACCTCTGTGCTGACTTTTCCAGAGTTTCATGCTTGCCTTTTGCTAATATGGGTTTTATGAGCCTTAGCATGTTTAAAAAGTCTGTGGTTCAGTGAGAAGTTTACTTTGCTCTTGCATAATTCATAGAACAATAAGGATTTCAAACATCCTGAGAGGAAAGGGCTGGCTTTCTTTTCATGGCAGAAATAAACCTGCTGCTGTTGATATCACACAGAACAAGGGGTCTGATATGAGCCTAAAATGAGTAGCAGCAACAATTATGAGGCATTTTCATATATTTCTTCCACAAGTATGGTAATTTGGAAAAATTCAGCCAACCGATGATCTTCCCCACCAGGTTCCTAGTGACTGGGATGCCCAAAGTGCTTACCTGCTACAAAATCACCAAAACCCACTGTGGTCAAAGTGACTACCACAAAATAAATAGACTCCAAAGCTGTCCATCCCTCAATGTATTTGAAAATAACAGCAGGGATTGTCACAAACACGATGCAGCCAGCCAGAATGAACAGGATGGTCGAGATGACTCGGATCTTGGTCTGGCTCACTTGCTTTTTCTAGAAAGAACAAAGGATAAAGATCAATAGGCAAGTCTGAATCAAAAGACAAATGCGCAGAAGAGCGTGCTCTCTGTGGTATTTCATATGTCTTTAGTCTTAAGTTGTTTGGTAGAAATCTGGTAAAAGCTGCAAAATCTTTCCTAGAAAAATGCACAGAATTTTCAGGTAGCTAAAAGGGTTCTCCGGCTCCCCCAAGTTAAAACTTGGCTCATCCTTTGAACCTTGTACAGTTCTGACTGTGGCACAAATACATTTTCTGAGCTCTTCAACAGTACAAATACAATTATTTCCGAAAAGACTTGTGGTCATTTTTCATGTACCACTACCCATCCTCCATGGTGGGGGTGGGGCAGAAGTCTGATGCTCTTTTTACAATGACAGTGATAGATTTGTATTCAATTTCTCTTGCATCAAAGAACGGCGGGGGGGGGGGGGGGGGAGATGACCTGAGCCAGGCTGAGGTATGTGGATGAAAAGAAAAACACGGCCACTCCCATGTGACACTCCAGTGACAGGCTGTACCCAGGCATTGATGTGTTTCTGCACAATCCTTCCCATCGCAGAAGCTGTACATTTGTAACACACTTTTGTTTTTAAGCACGCTTGTTTAATTCAATGCTGTAGTGGTGATGTTCATTGGCTGCCTTACCCACAACAGAGTCACTGTCTAAAACAGTAGTAGGAGCTTCATCTCACACCAGCTTCCAGAGAGTTAGCAGCTAGTTAGTAAAAATGTATGAAGCATGAGAATTAGATATTGGGGCAAAGAAACCATGCCAGGGTAATTGGCATCATTGGTAAGCTTCACTGATGCACTGGAGACCACCCCTCTGCACTGCCTCTAAGCAATAAAAATTCAGGTCTTCTCCAGCATTGGCACTGGAGATTGTCATCAGGAGTCCCTGACTCCATACACTAGCAGAATAGAAGAAATAAATGTGTAATACTATCTACGTGGCCCACATTGGGTTTTGGCACAGCACACCACACTGGAGATAATCAGTACAGAGAACCTTTACCATGCAAGTTGCTTTCTATTCATTGCCTGTTGGTATATCAGAAGGCAAAGAATCTCAAAGCACACAGAGAGGACTGTGCTCTCGCATATATTTAATTTTACTTCTGCAAAACAGAAGCCAAGAGGGGTTAAGGGACCTGGATAAAATGATACTGCTAATTAGGGGCAGAGCCAAGATTAGAATTCTGATGTAATTACTTCTCAGGCCTGTGCTTAATGATGAAAACAGTTTTCCAAGTTATTCAACAATGTACCAGCTCAAAGTTGTCTTTCCCTAACACAAGACACCAGACTCACTTCCAATGAAGAGCAGGCCTTCCTGTGCCCCTTCTGAGGAAGGAGACTGATAATAAAAAACACTCATTGGGTGGTCTGTCTGAGAAAAGGCATAGAAATATAAAAAAGGAGTCATATGCTCTGACTTCTCAGAGGGTGCTCAGTCTATAAAATAGAAAAAGAGAAAAATAATTTGACCTGTGCCTTTCTATTGCCCCTTCCTCGTTCTCAGAAAAGTCATCAGAAAAAACTGCCTTCAATTGACATTGCTAAAATGTCACATGAAAATACCAACCATTTTCCACACATGAAATTGTTGTGACAAGGTTAACCACCTGCAAATCATAGGAAATATCTTGCTCATTTCATGAATTACTGTGCTAGGTAATAGGAGAGGACATTCTGGGGGCAGTTGAGACCCTCTGAGAATCTAGGAACTTATTAGCTAGGTTTTGTTCACAGACATGCAACAAAAGTCCAAAGCCAAAAAGAAGACTTCGCCGTAGATCATTAAGTGAATCTAATTGCTGGCAACGGGAACACCATCTCCCCCTCTATAAACTGTCCTCCTCAGATGCATAATGAAATTAAAGTGAATCAAATGTTTGTGAGACACTTGTTAAGTCATAAATTAGAATGTGAATGCATTTGCAATCTAAATGAGGTTGAGGTTAGCAAAGAAGGGCTGCAAGTATGTGGGGAGCTGGAGACATGCCTAGGCTGCCTGAGACGGGCAAAGGGAAGATCAGGAGGGCCAGGACTGAGTTTGGTGGAAGAGAAGGTAGCCGGTAGTAGAGGCCACATGACGGTGTCTTAATTGCATTGTCTACTGCAGAGTGCATCAGCAAGCAAACGTTTCCCCTGTGAGTTCCTGGGAGCACTTAATTATTTGAGGTATTTTAGGAAGTTCAGAAATAAGTAGTGTGTGTGTGTGTGCACCCACATTGTACACATGCATATGCTTAGGTGTTTGTTGGTATATGAAAGTGTGTGTACACCCATATTTCATTATAAAAAAGAAAAGGCATAAATGTAAGGCTTTAGCAATACATATCTGTTATTCTGGATACTCATCCTTTTCCACTCTTGAGATAAAAACAAAATAAAACAGCTGCCTCAGCTGAAGGTAGCTTTCACTGCAGAACCACAAACCACCTCACACATCACATAGTGTCCTTCAGGTCTCCTCCCCCATTTATCCTACAACTTCACCCTGGTGTAAGGCAGCGTGGAAGAACCCAGAGGCAAAGCGCAGACACATCTCGTGCCCACTGATAAAGAACTGAGTGACTTCCAGGACTGGTGGCATGCACCTGTGATCCCAGTACTCGGGAGACTGAGTACTGGGAGGACCACAGTGAGTTCAAGGCCAGCCTGGGCTACACAAGTGAGTTCAAGGACAGGTTGTACCACATAGTGAGACCCTGTCTCAAAAAAAAAGAAAAAAAAAAACAAACCTCTTTGCATAAGAGTTTCATCTTCAATAAAATGGAGATAAGACAACCAGCCTTATAGGGTTGTTTAAGAGTGTGGGTAAACAGTGCAGTGCACAGTGATTAACATGCATTTTAATATAAAGTTCACATCTTAGCTTAAATGTAGATTTAATATCTCTCTTGCTACTGAGGAATGCACCCTCATTTCTTCTGTAACATACTCTTTGTCAAGCTTCTGTTTGTTTTCCCTTCCTAGATACATTATCTCGTACAATTACCTCATTTTCAATGGTGGAAAAATTCTCATTCTTCCTGGGTTCTTTACCGCCAACTCCAGATTAGGCTCTCAGACCCCCTCAGCTCACAATCTGGGAAGTTTTTTTATTTGTCTTTCATTTCCCCCTCGCTTTTCATATTCCTTCTTGAAAGTGCAAGGAACTGCAGATAATGCCTGGGATGTCGGGTACCAGCTGCAGAGGGGCCCTGGTTCACTCTGCCTCCCCAAGCCTGCTACACTGTCTGCAATTCTCAATCTGGCTCCGCACCACTCATGAATAGAGCTGGCCTTCCACGAGTTGCTAGGCAAGATCATATTGCTTTTGTACCTGTCAGCAGAGGAGCCAGAAGAAAGCCTTATGAGAGCCCAGAGCTCATCTGTCCTTAGGCTAACCAAACTGTTCTCTGAGAAGAGAAGGTCTGATCTGACCTCACTACAAGGCAGAAATAACAGGATGCTTATGCATTTCAGACCCTATCGTGTCTTGCTTAGGACAGATATGTCCTTATACAAATAGTAGTAACACGCAACACTATGGACCCCTGTCTAAATGGGGATGATTACAGGAATTTCCTGGAGCATTTATTTAGAGTTTATTTGTCAAAATTATATGTGCAATTATTCCAAGGAGCAAATAAGCATCACAAACAGTAGGACAGCCAGTTCTTGGAGCTCCCCTTTGAGAGAGGACTGTATACTCGGACAACACTATGTGTTTACTAATTCCAGACCTCAGAGGCCAACCACGTATCCAACTATCACTGAGCAGAAATCCCTTCCTGTTTTTGTCTCCTTCCACAATGTTATTTTAGGGAGCAAATGTATTTCTCTTCACTGTGAGCCATTTTTTCATTCTGTTTTTCCTCTTCTCTGATACTCACTCTTCTTTATGTTTTTTCTTAGAATTCTGACATTAGCCAGATGTTCAAATATTAGTCAAATTGTTTTGTCTGGCTGGGAAATATTTTTTGGGGGTGCGATTTTTAACCAAGATGTTAGAGATTTTATTCAAAGATACTGCCATAAAAACCCTAGGACAGGAGCTAGATATGCAGAGCTCTAGTTTATGGCTGAGTTTGGTTTTGTTGAAATACAAACATGTCACCATGGTAATGCAATTGAGCCGAAGTTAATTTCTCAAAATGGAAAGATAATAGGAACTGTCTCACAAAGGACAGATGTTATTTTCTTATACTATTATGTTTTCTTCAGAGATTTCTTCCATAAGGTCCATTTATAACTAATAGTTTCAAAATCATAACATATAACCATGAAGCGCCAGCAAGTCTATAAACTTAGGAACCGTTTTTAAATCCCATTGCCTATAATATTCATTGGTAGAGACATTCTAAACACACATTACTGAGAATAGTGCAGTAAAGTCTCCATGGAAACTACTGAAAATGTCCTACTCAAGAGCTGAATAAACAAATGGATCACATTAATATGAAAAGAGAGAGAGAGAGAGAGAGTTATAGCCCTCTGGCTCTCGGTCACAGTGCAACAGAAAACAGACTGACTAATTCAGTGCTCTGCTGTTTCACCTTGCAATGATTTTAGAAAAATTCTGATATATATATATATATATATATATATATATATATATATATATATATAACTAGCAATTTTATCTTTGGACTGCCAATGTAGGTCCTGGGAAGAGAAAAATTAACATTCACAAATAATAGAAACTGTTAGCTGTTCTACTCCAGAATATCTGTAATTAAAATCTTTGAAAGCTGGTGGCTATTAACACTTGAAGATAATACACTACCAGGACACAAGGTTTTACATTCAAAATTCAGCTAGTTCATTCATAACTCATTTAGTATGTGGCTATGAAGAACTTCTATATGCATATGCATGTGCAAGAACTTCTATAGGCACCATTCTAGTTGCAAGAGATATAGAGGGAGGAAGATGGAGTACAGGGAGGAGAGAGAGAAGGTCTCCATGAGCACAACACAGTCTAGTGGCCAGAGGCAGGGAG